CACAAAATTAACGTTAAAAATTATTTATTTATCTTTTCATTAACCAAAAAGTGTTATATATTTTATAATATTTTTTAATAGATATGAAATTTTGTGGCAACTTGACACTAAATTTATTACTTTTATCTTATAAACATCGGTTTAACCTACACTATTATATTTAATTTTTTTATTTATTTGACAAAACTTAGATTTGTGTGGACTTAGCTGACAATATATTTTTTATTTTACAATACTTGTATTTGTGCCGATTTAACTCAGGAGGTCAATTTTTCATTATTTTTCAATTAATTATATTACTATGTCTTACATTAAAAAGTTTATTAAACTTAAACATCAAGCCCAACAATCCAAAATGGCTAAGAGAAGGAGAGTGAAAACCCTAATGGCTTGCGCCGCACACGGCGATGAAATGTGAGAGCAATGAGATCTAGCGGAGGCATTTAGGACGACAACCCACAGGAAAACGTTGAAATGCAAACATGGAGTTACGTTGAAATGCTACCATAGTTGGGAGAAATACCAGCACAGATTTTGTTCGTGTGATAGGAGAACACGACATCAACGCCCAAAACGGACACAAATTTGGAAGAGAAAACCTATGAACCACGAAACTATTATCCAGGTACGTTTTGCATAAATTGTGACCTAGAAATAGACAAATCTAGTGTTGTTTTCGGCTTCTTATATTTATCATTAGTTTCCCTTCTTCTATTTGCTGTTTATTTTGTTTTTTTCTTTTAGAAAAAAAAAAAAACAAGAAGTAAGTTGAGTTCGGGAGCGTGAAGAATCTCGACAAAACTATTTTCATCCACACACTCCAGTCCATCCTTGCTGTTAAAATTCATATATACACTAGTTTAAACAGTTGACGAGATTTGGGTTATCTTTCTCCTCCGAGGAATTAATAATAGTTTATTGAGAAAGAGATTCATTGTGGCAACTAGCTGTTCTGATTTTTGTTAACATGCTTTTGTTACTTTGTATTGAAATAGAAAGCAAAGGTTTTACCTTTTGGATATGGGAAATGCATAGATCTCACAATCTTATGGGTTTAATTTAACTGTTGTTTTGGATTTAGTGGCTAACTTAATTTCCAAATGCATTTTGAATCCAAAAGTTTGACTTTTTTACGCGATGAGAAGGGTTTTTAACTTGACTAGAGTGTTAAGAGCTGATTAAACTAAGCTTGAATTGTCAATGAAATTGGTTAAAAAATTCAAATTTTGTTGAGAACGGAAGAATAGACAACAAGTATTTATAAATTAAGTATATAATAAATGTGGAAACTTTCTTTTTTATTTTTGTAGGTTGATGGAAATTACACCTAAGTGTTAGGAATAAAAGTTGCTGTTGGTCGAAGAGATGGAAGTAGCCCATTAAGTAGATAAAGCTTGAGTGAGTGATAGGTTAATTTTTTTCTTAAGTAGAGAAAGCTCGAGCGACTCAGTTTAATTTTTTTCTCATCTAGTATTGTTTTTTCACCATTTATTTCCGCGTATAGGATATCTGGCTAATATTTAGACCGGTTGTTTTCCACCTCAGAATTCGATTCGAATTCTAACTTTCAATTTACGTGAATATGACCGAAATACCAATTAGAATCCGGTTCCGGAACCAAATTCTAAAAGTATTTTGTGTTTTTGTTTTTTAACATAACTAAATATAAATATATTTATTAAATATAAATATATATTAAATATGTTATATTTTTAATATATTATACATATTTATATAATTATATATTTAATATATTTTTATATAGATAATATAATAAATTTATATGTAAATAAAAATTAGATAATTTGAGTAAAATATATAATTTAAATTAAAGTGAAAAGATATTTTAAGTATAAAATTAATGAGATATTTTAATATATTATAAAAGTATAATATAATTATGAGAAATTGATATCTATAGTGGTGTGGATAATATTTTTTGTCATGGATCACAATAATATTTGATTGGTTGATCCTTTTTATATTATTTTAGTTTTAATTCATGATGAATTTAGATAACTCTTAAAACTTATTTTTTCGTTGGATTAGGACAAAGTTGTGTCTTAATAGGATAATTAATAATATTTGTGTTTAAGCTTCTCATATAAATTGTTGTACACTTTACTAAACACATCTAATTTTTTGTTGACAAGATTAATTATGATGAATATATTTGGACGTTTGTTGACAAGATTAATTATGATGAATATATTTGGACGCTCTAGTTACATTAAAACATGATAGATGAAGTTCTTTTAAAAAGACAAAAGTTTGAATTGTACTAATAAATTTTTATTATTAATTGGTAAGGATCAAATAATATATTATTAAAAAATAATAAATAAATATAAAAAGATGAGAGGATAAAATTATAAATATATAAATAAATATATAAAATAATTATTAAATATAGAAAATAAAATCATAAATTATATAAAAATTATAAAATTTTGGAGATACATTCCCCCGTTCCTTAAAAAGATTCGCATTGTCAAATTAACTCTTAAAATTTGTGTGGAATATGTGAAATATAATACATTGCATTCAGTTATCCAAATATAATACATATGCATTCTGACTTGAAAATCAAACCTTATTATTTATCTAAATATTTGGTTATGCGGAGAAATAAACAGCCCAACAATACTGCGCCAATAAATATAAATATATATATATATATATATATATATATATATATATATATATATATATATATATATATATATATATATATATATAATCATTTGCATTGTGTCAGTCGATATATTATATATAAATGCACTGTGCAGATTGATGGTCTATTTATGCATGAATTGTCTTCAGAGTTGTTGTTGGTGACCTATTGTTGCCCACAGATGTAACATGCATTGGTTATTTGATCGCCATTTTTTTTGTGAATTATAGGTGCAAAATTAATAGTTTTTTCCCTCTAAAATATCACAATTATGGTTTCTAAAATTAACACGTCTCATTGTACACAGACCAAAGTTTAGGTATTTTAGAAAAAAAAAAAAAACTACGCGGAGAAAAATCAATGCTGTAAAAGCCCTATAAAATAAAACTAAAATTTGATGATTTTTCAGAGATTAAAAACAGTATTAATCCCACTATTTTCTCTTAATTCTTCTACTTCAAAAATGTTTTTTTTGTATATTTTTCTTAGTCTGTGAAATACATAAATGCATCAGCCAATCAAGTCAATAGTTTCTGTGAGAACAAAGTGTTAACCCGATTAGCTTCCAATATGAAAGCATATCTACTAGTTGAATCTTATTTAATTTGTAATTAGTCAATTATTTTAGTTTCTGAATTAATAAAAAAATTCAAAAATGAAATGAATTAATTCATAGGTATCTTTTACAAAAATTAGCTGACTTTCAATTCTTACTATACCACTAGAAATGGAGGGCAAATGAGATTTTTATATCCCTTTCAACTTTTTTTTATTTTTATCATTTTTATTCCTAAATAATGAACAATTTTTTTTTCAATTAGTTGTTACTTTTTTAGATTGTAAAGTTTATTTTTATTTTTTCTTACTTTTTGAAACTAAGTAGAAGTTTTATTATAAAATAATAAATTTTATTGTTATTACAATTTTCAATACAGATATGTTAATAAAATTTTGGTCAATTGTACAATAACCAAAATTTTCTTTACAACTTTAGATGTAATTTTTTTAAAATTTATATTTTATTTTTCAACAAGCAAATTTTTTTATTGTAATTTTTGTAAATTACTAATAAAAATAAGTAATTGTATTGAATCAACGAATCTACAGAGAGAAATTCCACAAAGCTTGCCCAATATTATATGAAGAAATTATATGTAAATAAATAAATAAATAAAATGACGAACAATTTTGATAAATTCTTTTAATAATATCATTTTTTAAAATATTCAAATATAATTTTTTTTATATTTTATCTTAATAATTATTTTATTATAGTTTCATTTTATTTTAATGATCATTTAATATTTTCTTCTTTATTATATTTTATATTTATAATTTTATATTATAATTTGTTATTATTATGATAATAATTTTTATTATTTTTTAAATATTATATATTTATAATATTATACAAATATTATTTTATTAAATCTAATTGGTTTAGGGTTAAATTTTTAGATCTTAAATTTATAATTTTATTGGTTTTTCGTGAAACTGAATATTTTTTAAAATAATTAGCGTATATATGCGCACTAGTGACAAGCTAGAGAGTAACAGAGTAAAGTTGTAATTTAATCATATTTTATAATATTAAATATCCACATTTGCATCAAATTAATTATTTTGCATCCATTGCCGAGAAAATAGCATCAATTATTATAAACTTTGTTTGTCTGACGTTTTATATTGTGTAAAAAAGTAATATATTTTCCTAAATGAAATAGCACTGTTGGAAATGGACTTGTTAAAATTTTAGAAAAAACTTTTCTCTGGAAACATAAACGAAAAGACAATGCTAAACAAAACCCCACCATTTGGAATGAATGGAAACAACGAATCAATGAAATGTTTTTTTTTTTCTCAATGATATATGACTGAAAAGGAAAGGGACAAAGAATCGGGTGGATATTAAATGAAAGAATTGATTGAAATGGTTGGATTTGAAGATAGTCTTCCTTTTCATAGAAAAAAATTACAATAACAAAACAAATTGAGACAATGATAAGAACTACCACAACTGATATTACAGCAATTTACGTACTTCCATGAAATACGTTGCTGAATCCAATCTACACCACAAATTAGTAAGAAGTGAGACGTTTACAACCGAAGAAAAATATCCACATGCAGCTATAAAAGTAAGAAACACCCAAATGAAATTTTAAGAGAAAAAAAAAATATAAATTTTCTTATAGTTATAATGTAACAGGAAAATTAGAGATTGATAAAGTGTTTAGAAGAACGAGATGTAAACATTCTCCTGAAATAAAATACAACTTGTTTGCACTCTTCTTTATGATAAGGATTGTACATACTAGGAAAATTAATGGCAGAAACAAGGTTGAGTTGCTTCAAAGACAAAAGATGGTCACTCCATGGCATGACAGCTCTGGTGACAGGAGGCAGCCGAGGGATAGGGTTTGTTCATTTTTCTATAATGTCTTTAATTACTTCCTCATATTCATATTAATTTCTCTGTAATTGTTACTATTCCATTGTGAATTAGGCGCGCAATTGCAGAAGAGTTAGCAGAATTTGGGGCACATGTACATGTATGTGCCCGTAATCAACAAGATATTGATCGATGTCTGGAAGAATGGAATAGCAAAGGATTTCGCATAACAGGGTCGGTATGTGATGTTATGTGTCGGGACCAACGTGAAAATTTAATGAAAACTGTTGCTTCAAACTTTCACGGAAAGCTCAACATTCTGGTATCATCTCCTGTTAACATTTAACTTTCAACAATATTTTTACATTGATTTTGTTTTACAAACTCAAAGTCGTAGATAGTTAGTTTCTGTAGTTTGGAGAGCATTATGGAATCTTTTACTTTCAATGTTAAAAGTTCAAACGAGTGTAACCAGAAAGGGAAAATAATTTCTAATGACATTTAATTTTGAATGCTTAAACAAACATGTGTCTTTCAGACCATACTTTTAATGAACTGAGTTCTGACTAAGTAAATGGTTTTCTATATAGATAAACAATGCTGCAACAACTACACCTAAGAGCCTGATAGATTATACTGCAGAAGACGTGAGTACAATAATGGGAACAAATTTTGAGTCTAGTTACTACCTATGTCAACTAGCACATCCACTTCTCAAAGCATCTGGACATGGGAGCATAGTATTCATATCCTCCATTGCAGGTCTTAAAGCTTTGCCATTTAGTTCTATCTATGCATCATCTAAAGGTACGTTTCCCTATCTCTGAATCCTTTTAAATTCAACTCAACGTCATAAATTGGAGTTTCAGAAGATAATGAATATCTGCATATAAATAAACTCAGGAGCTATGAATCAATTCACCAAGAACGTAGCATTGGAATGGGCGAAGGATAATATTCGTGCAAATGCTGTAGCACCTGGATCTATTAAGACAGCTCTTTTGGACTATATCATGGTATGAACAGTTAGTGAAGTGTTAACCAAAATTAAGCAATTTTGGTTTATCATGAATATGTTATTTAGCAACCATGCTGAAGATCTCTGTTCATTGCTTTTGATGTAGGAATCTGTAGATGAAGGGAATAAAGTTGTTGAGGCTATGATATCTCAAACACCAGCTGGTCGTATTGGAGAACCAAAGGACATATCAGCAATGGTGGCTTTCCTTTGCCTTCCAGCTGCTTCATACATCACTGGCCAGATCATAACTGTGGATGGGGGTTTCATTATGTAAAGTGTTACACCTAAAACAATTATAGAATAAAATAAGTGAATGCCCAAAACCAAATCTCTGGATAAACTTGGTTTGTCACATTCTGTGATACTATAATGATTGTCATTAGTTGTTTTAGGTACTAACTTTCAGGGTTATATTATTACTTTCGTCTTTGTATAATTGCAACAAGTAGATTTGAAACTAATGTATAAAAAAGAAGCTCATGTACTTATATTGTGAAAATTCTCGTTTTTGTTAGTGGAAAAGGTTTACATAGAATATAAGAGAAGAATTATATCGAGGGAAATTATCCACAGTGAAAACGATCGAGATGAATATATATTATAATATATATATATATATATATATATATATATATATATATATAGAACATCTACATATTTATTATATAGACACATTTATAATCCACTCATGAGAATTAACCAACATATCAAAATCCAAGCATAACAATCTGGAATCACCTACCAATCCCTGTCCACACAGACGAAGAAAACCAAACCAGAACCACTAACCACCATTTGACAGACCCCATTCAGAAGCAACAACATCAAGCAGAGTCAAAATTAATAAAATTAAACCATCAGAAACACAACCATTAATCGAAAATGCAATATCATATCAGAATAAAGTAGAAACAAAAATTAAATAAATCAACTGAGGGAAGCTGGCTCGCGGCCTCACCTTCGATCAGGGGATTGCACTGCTCCGAGGACGCCACTCACGGCAGCGATGGCGCGATTGGGAAGGATCCACGGTCGAGGTTGTTGGTTCGTCGAGGCGACTTGCGATTAGGGCTAGGAAATGGCCCGCGACACCCTTGATGGTCGTGGGTGGGGGAGACGCGGTTAAGGCTTATAAAGACGACCAACAGTGGCGCAACTACGAAGGGGTGAATGGCTGGCTAGGAAAAATGATTGAGATAGGAGCTGGGGCGAGGGAGGCTTGATGGAGGGTTGTTAGGCTTCGATGGTGGCCGACACCTGGAATGGAGAACGAAGCGGAGCCCTGGAGAGAGTGACGGAGAAGAGGATGGGTCTCGGTGGAGGTGAAAGGCCATTGATTGGGGTTAGAGGGCGAGGGAGAAGTCGCGGGTACGGGAAGAGGTTGTGAGTGTGAAAGAGAAGTGTCGGATATGGAAAATCTTAGTTTAGTAATTGAGAGATAAATTAAGATAAATTAAGAGTGAAAAATAATTTCTCTTTTTATATTTTGTTAGAGTTGTTTTTCCTTTATTTTTAGGAGAGAATGTTATTATTTCCTTTTTGGAAGTAAAGAGAGAATGGTTGTAAGTAAAGAGAGAATGGTTGTAATTTTTTTCATTAGTGAAATTACTCTTTTGTCTATTATTAGTATTTTTCTCATCTTTTTCTTTGTTGTTGTGTGTGCTTATGCTTTTGTCTGGTACCTACAGTGGTATCAGAGCAACTAGGTTGTATTGGTTTTCTGTTATATAGTCATTAGAATAGTGTTGGAGAAAATTCTTAGTATACTCTGTGGTTGCGGTTAATCTGAACTTCTACATCAGAAAAGAGTTATTCTTGTTATTGAATATTATTTGGTGGTGTGTCTAGAAAAAGTTTTAGTAAGGAAAGACTTGGTATTTAAGTGTGTCCATTAGTGACCCACCTCTCTTTCTTAGAAACTTACCTAGTGTACTGGTTCACGGTCTACCGTTGTTGTTCCAGTAGGCAATACTATTCATAGTGAGGATTACATAAGTTGATTTGGAACCATGATAACAAAATATGAGATAGAGAAGTTCAATGGGAGTAATTTTTCATTGTGAAAATTGAAGATAAAATCAATTTTGAGGAAGGACAATTGTATTGATGCAATTGCGGAAAGAACCGTGGAACACACGGATGAATGACAATGGAAAGAAATGAACGACAATACTATTGCGAATTTGCACTTATCAATGGCAGATTTGGTTTTATCCAGTGTTGCAGAGAAGACTACTGCGAAGGAGATTTGGGATACCCTCATTAAACTATATGAGGTAAAGTCACTTCACACAAGAATATTCTTCAAGAGAAAACTTTATACTCTTCGGATGAGTGAGTCCACATCGATAATGCAACCACATCAACCATTTGAATACCTTGTTTGCAGTGGCAGATCTTGACCATTGATCTTGGAGGAGCCAAATAATATATTATTAATAAATAATAAATAAATACAAAAGGAAGAAAGAAGATGAAATGGTGAAAAGATAAAATTGTAGATATATACTTAAATATATTAAATGATCATTAAGTTTGAGGGGAACAAAGTCATAAATTATATGAAAGTTACAAAACTGAGGAGGGGCTGAGAGGATAAAATTGTAAATATACACGTAAATATATTAAATGTTCATTAAGTCTGGGGGGCCAAAATCATAAATTACATGGGAGTTACAAAACTTTAGGGGGGTCACAGCCCCCCTCATCTCCCAAGAAGATTCGTCACTGCTTGTTTGTCCAACTATCAGCGGCAGATTTCAAAATAGTTGAAAATGAACATGCAGAGCTTCTACTTCAGAGTTTATGTGATTCGTATGATCAAATCATAATCAATATTACAAATAATAATATTGTTAGGAATATGCACTTTGAGGATGTTGTCGGAACTATTCTTGAAAAAGAATCCAAGCGGATGAGTAAGGGCGAAAGTTCCAAACAAGTAGAGGCTTTGACGATTATGAGAGAAAGATCTACGGAACATGGCTCGAGTAGTGATAGATCGAGGTCGCGAAGTAAGAAAAGTTCTAAAATCAAATGCTACTTTTTTAGCAAGAAAGGGCATACAAGAAAAGAGTGTTGGAAGAGGAAGAATGAAGGAAACAACTCTGAAGAATCAACCTCACAAGGTTGTGTTGTAAGTACCTCGAAAGATGGAAATATTCTAGTGAGTGAAACAATAATTAGCTCTAATGGTGAAAAGAAATTTTATGACAAGTGGATAGTGGATTCAAGTGCAACATGGCACGTGACTCTACACTAAGATTAGTTTCACACTTATGAACTATTCTCAGGTGGATCCGTCTTTATGGGAAACAACCATGCATTGGAGATTACTAAAGTTGGTATAGTCAAAATTAAAATATATGATGGTACTTTTCGCACAATTCAAGGGGTACGACATGTGAAGAACTTGAAGAAGAATCTATTGTCCATTGGGCAATTAGATGACCTCCAGTGTCAGATCCATGTTGAATGTGGAATCTTGAAGGTGGTGAAGGGGAGTTTGGTAGTCATAAAGGCAAAGAATATCATGACAAATTTGTATGTGCTTCTTGGAGATACGTTGCAAGAAGCAGATGCATCAATTGCGGAAACAAGTCAGGAAGATGCAATGATCATATGACATCATAGACCTCATATGTCAGAAAGTGGTCTGAAAATCCTTGCAGAACATAATCTCTTACCCGGGCTTAAAGAGGTTAGTTTAGCCTTCTGTGAGCACTGTGTGATAAGTAAGCAACATAGATTGAAGTTTGCTAGAGTGACTACTAAAAGTAAATACATATTGGACTTGATTCATTCTAATGTGTGGAAATCGCTAGTACTATCTCTTGGAGGAGCAAAATATTTTGTATCGTTCATCGATTATTACTCCAGGAGATTGTGGGTATACCCTATCAAGAAGAAGTCAGATGTGTTTTCACAGTTCAAGGAATTTAAAGCACAGGTAGAACTTAAAATTGGGAAAAGAATTAAGTACTTGAGGACAGATAACGGAGGAGAATATGTAGACAGAGAATTTTTAGTATTTTGCAAGTAAGAAGGTATCACCAAACAATTTTCTGTCCCATATACGTCTCAGCAAAATGGTATAACAGAGCGAATGAATAGAACTCTCCTAGAAAGAACTAGAGTTATGTTGCGAACAGCTGGAGTAGCCAAGTCTTTTTGGGCAGAAGCGATTAAAACTACATGTTATGTTATAAATCGGTCACTGTCAACTACCATTAGTTTGAGCACACCAATGGAGTTATAGAGAGGTAAACTAGTTGATTATTTATCCTTACGTATTTTTTGTTGTCATGTGTACATGATGTACAACACTAAAGAAAGAACAAAATTGGATCCAAAATTTAGGAAATGTATCTTCTTGGACTATGCTAACAATGTGAAGGGGTATCACCTGTGGGATCCCACTTCCCACAAGGTTATTGTTATAAGAGATGTAGTCTTTGTAGAAAATAAATTGCAAAGTGAGCAGACAAATGACAGCTTGATAAAGGATAAAGTTATAATACAGATAGACAAAAAGTCTTCGAATGACTCGTCTAAGTCATAAGAGGAGCACGGAGATCAAAAGTCAAATGAGGTTGGTAATAGAGATCTCTGGCGATCAACACGAGAAAAAGTCAGACCATCTTGGCATTCACAATATATGATGGCAAGTCATGATGCATATTATTTTCTAAATGAAGAAGGAGAACCTTCAACTTTTCAAGAGGCTGAGTTGTTCAGATGCTTCTCTGTGGATGACTGCAATGCAGGAAGAAATTGAGGCTCTTCATAAAAACAAGACATGAAATCTTGTGGAACTTCCAAAAGGTCGAAAAGCCATTGGTTTCAAATGGGTCTATAAGATCAAAAGAGATGGCAATGATCAAGTAGAAATATATCATGCTAGATTTGTGGTAAAGGGATATGCTCAGAAAAAAAGTATTAATTTCAATGAGATATTCTCTCTGGTCATCAGATTGACGTCCATCAGAGTTGTCTTGATTATGTGTGTTGTATTTGATTTACATATTAAACAATTGGATGTAAAGACTTTTTTTCTTCATAGAGATCTTGAAGAGAAAATTTATATGCTTCAACCAAAAGGCTTTAAAGAACAAGAAAATTTGGTTGGCAGGTTGACCAAATCTCTATACGGTCTAAAGCAGACGCCCAAATGTTGGTATAGAGATTTGATTCCTTCATTATTTGTCTTAGTTACAATAGACTGAACTCATACCATTGTACATATATATTACAATAGTTTTGGTGATAAAGATT